ACCCATCCGACATCCTGCTACAAACCACAAGAACAAAAATCCGGCCTACCACAAAATGAGCTCACAGTGAGTGTTGTGCTGATATTTCACCTTTTGATCCTATTACGCTAAACTCCTAAACTTGCAAAAAACTTCCAACTACCCAAAAACTCAACAAAATCTAGCATTACCCATCTCACTCCCCCAAAAATGATAACAAATGCGACAAAATTCGTAGTCAATGATAGCTCAAGGTCTCAACTAACCTTTATTTTGAGATGTGAAATAGAAGAAAGCAGAGACGGAAACAACAAAGGCAACGAATAGAATAACGATTATAGCACCAATCGAGATCTTGCGAGTAGTAGACTTCAATCGACGGTGATGATTCCGCAATTGCTGCTGCTGTTGCTGCTGCTGCTTATTCGAACGAATCCCTACCGATACATGATCCGATGCAACTCCGTTCCGAACAACTCCACCACCACCATTGTTTATAATACCTATAGCACCCGATTGTCTGTACTGAGCCATTCGAGCATTGTAGAACCAGAAAACTTCGTATTACAGCCAAGTTGAAGAGTGTATAATGGGGTTTTTGAGGCAAAAATGGAGATTTTTGTGACCGGAAAATGATGAAGAATAAGGAAAACACAAAAACACGAAACTCGTGGATTCCGCGCCGGGCTTTACATAACACTTTTTTACTCACCTCTCATAAATATTTGTCAAAATCCCTATGTTAGATCCAAATTTACACAAGCCATTTTTCTAATAACTTTTGTTTTTCTTTCATTTTTGGCATAAATATTAGTATCTTACTAAAAAAAAAAAATTCCACTAATAATGGGGAAGGGCCAACAAAATTATTTATGATGATTTTTCATTCGAAGATTAGTATCCATATTAAAATTGGCTAATTTAAATCTATATCGCTTAGGGTCTCATTTGGAAAAAAGCTTTTCATACGCAAAGCTCGAATTCGAGAGATTTATTCTTTTTTTTTAAATAGTTTGTCCTTCGAGATGGTTCAGTTGGTTTGGAGGGTGGTTATCCACACGGATGATCCTAAATCGATCCCCCTTCAATGCCTTCTGAGTCAAGCATGTCGCATAGGGCTTATCTAGTATGGTTTACATACCCTGTGTGGTTTGCAGGCTATTACACAGTGGGGGCTTACCCACACAAAATGTTCACCACAGAGTGTTCTCCCGAAGGGCAGAGATTGTAGCGATGGCGGGTTATATCCTGGAGTTCAAAAAAAAAAATAGTCTCGTTTGTTGCATTATTTGACCAAAATTTTCAAACATTAGAACTAATTGTTGCATTATTTGACCAAATTTTTCAAACATTTAGAACTAATTAAAATTGAATATCTCTAGTTATTTTTAAAAATTAATCAGGAAGTTTTGTTAAAATTACGACACAAAAAGATCTTCATTAACTGCACTTGAAGAAAAGTACAAAGATGTAGAACAAAAAAGATAATTGCACCTTAAAATACTAATTCGTGTTACAAAACAAATTTACTGCTTCGTCAAATTTAACTAATAAAGTTTATTGTAAATTTGACAGAAATAAAAGATACATTATTACTTTTGATAAATTTAAAAGATCAAAATTATTTAACAATATATTAAAGGATTACTTTAAATCTACTCCAAATTTAAGAGACTATTTTTATAATTTCTCGGGTAATGAACTTTCTATTAAATTATTGTTGCTTGCAAATTCGACACATATAATTTAATTTTTTTTCAATCTTTTATTGGCCACCAATATAAATATATACGAAATTCACACAATATGCAATTGATGTGGCAGCTCTTTCTTCACTAAGTATTATGTTTATTTATTTATTATTATTATTATTATTGCTTTTTACCTTATTCTTTTCATTTAATTTGTTCGCTTTAAAAACACAATATTAAATAAATTATTGCTTCTTTAAAAACTCCTATTAAAGTGTTCATACGTCTCTATCATAACAGTTCATATATTTAATAATACTATATTTTTAATTTATTAATTTCATGTATATCGAAGCTTCAAAAATAACTTAGCACTTTATCTTCTCTTAAAACAACAAACTCAAAACATTTTTTTTCTAAAATAAATTAAATCTCTAGATTTTCATTTTTCTTTTACCGTATACAAACAAAATTGATTTAAATTTGTATTGATAACTCATTAATTATCTCATAATGTTTGCTCAACTATATCATTAATTGTAGAATCAGTATACATATCATTGAAAATATTTTTTGAAATGTATTAGTTAGTAATTGATCATTCACATTGAAACTGTAAAAGATATATTAATTTTCAACATTTTTTTCTTTTTCTCTTATTTTCAACATGAAGTACGCTAGAGATAAAGATTTTGGCCAAAATCAACCTTAAACTGTATCTCAAACTTAAACTATATCCTTAAAGTATCATTCTTAGAAGAAAACATCCTTCAAGTATATAAAAGTGAACAATTTTCATCCTTCTACTTTTAGTAGAAAACTAAAGATCCCACAAAAATCAAGTTATTCCTTCGTAATTATTATTCTTAGATACGTCAAAAAATTTATCGTGAACTTTTTTGGTAACTGAGTTTAGCATTATGCAAAAATTTTTAATTTGATAGTTTTTTTTCATTTATTTTTCATGTTATCTGATATTAAAAATATTATTAGTTGAAATATGTTTCGTCTCAATTGAATAAGCTAGCAGCGGCGTTTGTTGGAGACATCCGCTTCTAATAATGTAGAATGAAACTCAAATGCGAGACATAATCAATATTTTGATCACTTCAATTTCATATTGGCCCAAAAATTTATTGATTTAAATACAGTTTAGCTTTGAAAAAGGTAATGATAATTAAGCTCCAGCTTCTTTTCGTTACTAAATGAGAAAAAGAACAGATTGTGTATCCTCACACCTTCCAAACATTTTTTGTTTCGGTAAGCAATGATGTCTAAGATTTTTAATATTTTTTTCAGGAACTTCTTATAGCAGATAATGAAATTATGCAGAAAAACTTTTGTTGATAGTCACGTGAATTGCTCATGGTTTTGTAAGATCCCATAGTTTTTTGACGATTTCTTATATAAGCTTTCAAATACTTAGAGGATATTTTTTGCCAAAAAAAAATATTTTAAAAATGTAATTTAAGTTTGGGGTATAATTTAAAGATGTTTTTGACCAAAAACTGCCAAAAGATACATTAGAAAAGATGGGTATCTTTTAGCCAACTTTATCTTTTTATAAGTAAAAATACCATTTCATAAATGGTTTATATAAAATATATAAATTGCTCATTTAAAAATTTAAGAAATACATCACTACTTAATAATAATACAACTATGATTTTATTTTTGATTGATGAATAAGCAGACCAAATTAGTCATGGCCGTAGAATAATGGGTTAAACCATACTAACATAACAAATTTGTTAGAAGAAATAACTCCTGAGTCGTTGGATAGAGTGTATTAAAAGAAATAATGCATGTATTAATTTTGTATATTAGTAATATTTTGTTTGGTACATTTTCAACTTATGTATAATTAATAGGTTGATGTGTGTATTATAATATACATGAAAATTCATGATATTAGTAATGCAAGAGATTTCAATGCATGCATTAGCATGGTTAAAGACTCAAGCATCCCTTAAAATATTTTTTTTACAACTTTTCTCGCATAATTGTGGAGGGTGTACCTTTGTAAAGTATTTTACAACAAAAAAATATGTAATGCATATTATTTTTAATACACCAAACTAAACAATGTGTATAAGAAATAATTATTGCATAATTAATGCAAACATAACTAATACATGCATTACTAATGCTAGTATTTTTAATACATTTTATTTGATATTATTCTCATGCACCCTAGGAGTGTGTAAAAATCGAACCGACCAATAAATTGAATCGAAAAAATGCTATTGACTTATTTGGTCAACATATGTTTGTATAGGTAAACCGATATATAATCATTAAGGTTGTAGTAATTTACTCATTTACCCCTACATAAATACTAATATTAATATCAGTACCTTACTGTTTACTACATTTACCATTTAGCCTTCAATTCATACTATTATCTTAGTTCTTTTATTTGTGTTGTACTTGTATAGTTATTTTCATGTTAGCTAATGATGTTTCTATTTTGTGAGCATTATACAAAGTTACATTAGTGTCTTATCACACCAAATTATTGGAGTAGTCATATATATGTTTGTCTTATGAGCATTTTTGTATTGGTTAAACCGTGTCGTTAAGAACCAATATCGATAAATCGAAAATTGATTTTGAAAAATATCATATTGATTTAATTAGTTATTGGTTTAGCATATTTAAAAATCAAAAAATAATAAAACGAACTGATAGTACATTAAATCAAACCGGACCGACCCCTAATACACCCTACCAAACGATTTCCGTTTGACCATAGATATTTTATAAAATATTTGGGGAAAAAAATTGACAAATCTTGTTTGGTCATATAACTTGCCATTATTTGCTATATATTTTTGGAAAATAATCCATATTTTCAAATAGTAGAAAAAAATAGCATTTTGGGTCAAATTTTATTATTTGAGAACTTTTAAAAATTATAGCAAATTTTTATATTTTATAAAAACATCCATCATTTATAATTTTGGACTAAATTTTAGAATCCTAGTTCGACGTATAAAATTTATATAGTTATATACATATTTTATCAGTTTTTATTCGAACTTGTCTTTTGAAGCCACTTTCAATTATAAGTAGTAATAATATTTTTTTCCTATATAAATCAATGATATTTTTCTCAAATTCATATTAATTATGTTTGTTGTGATTACTTTTTAGGAAACATGTTTAGCACAAAATGATAATATAAACTTATAAATACTTTTAATAATTCTTAGAACTTATGAATATAAAATTATATATTTTTTAAATAAAAATTTATCCCAAAATTCATAACAAAACTCGAAAATAATTTGCCAAAAATATTTGTGAATTTCTGAGTAGCAATTTAAATTAAAGTTTTGATAAATGGGTCAAAAAACTGGTTGAGCTAAGCGGAAGGACATAGTTGGTCTTCGTGTCCCAATTGAGTGTAGAGCTCAGCTGTTTACCATTCATTTCTTGAAGCAGAGCTGGAATCTGAATTCTGAGGTAGACTTCTAACTTTTCTTTTGTAGTATTTGTTTTGGAGTTTTGGGTGTATCTTTATTTGGGTTGGATTGAACCCTTCTATGCCTTGGAAGCTCTACTTGTCAATTTGTTCTCCAATTCCTTTTAGTAAGTTGTTTTCCTCCTATATTGTTTGTTTATCTTTGGACAAGATTGCTGCTTAAAGTTTGTGCATTTTGATTTCACTCAAATATTTTGCATTTTTTTTTTAAATTTTATAACAAGGGAAACCCGCAGCCGCTACCCTTGGGTGCGCACAGGGTACAGCCCATGCTCTTATGCAATAGCTCGCAAACCACATAGGAGAGGTAATCCGCACTAGGCAAGCCCGATGCGACGACCTCGACCCAGAAGACAAACCCTTGCTTTCGCTGGTAAGGGGTTTCGAACTTGAGACCTCCAACAAGGAAGTCCCAAGCTCAAACCACTGGGCCACCCCAAAGGGTATTTTAGGGCACTTGTTTAACTGAAAGTTGGTTGATGCATATGAAATTGGTAGGGTACAAGGAGATGAAAACAAGGTTTAATCTTGGTTATGTATTCCATCCCGAATAATTAAATAGCAAGGTCGTTTGGTTGGGAGTGGGAACAAGTTATCGTGGGATAAGTTATTCCATTGCTAAAGTATAAATGGTGAGATAAATAATCCATGACGGCCTAATACCTTCAACCAAACACAGGATAAAATAGTTCTGCATTTTATCCGGAGATTATTATTATACCTTATACCTCACACCATACGACTCCTAATAGTTTAAGAGTGGAAGTCTCTGTACCGTTCATGAACTAATGATTATAATGTGAGAAAGTCGAATGATATACATAGACAGACACCAAGCAAATGCTGATTGTGAGTTTTAGTTATTTGACATGTGAGTTTTCGGGAAAAAAATTGAGTTCTAGGACTATTTTATGGAGAGAAATTAAGTATTACTACTTGCTAGTCAAATTAGAACTCATGTGTGTATGTATAACAAGTGGTTATTAAGAAAAGACGAAAGAAAATGGGATAGTCGACTTGTCATCATTGCAAATAAGAGTAGTTGTTGCAGTGAAGAGGATTAATTGTATAAGGTTGGGATAAAGTGGTGAGTTTGTTTCAAAAGAGTTCACAAAAAATATAAATCTTTGGTCTCATCCTCGATACTGAGATATATACCACAAGACTTATAAGTTGATGACTTGATTCGAAAGGATTGTCTCGGTAATGTGGAGAAGATTACTATTTCTGTATGTTAGGTTTCTTGATTCTAAGTACCTGATAGTAAGTGCTGCAATACCATGATACAACAATGATTCGACTTGTTCTCATGTCATTTATAGGAGAAGGTTATTTTATAGTGGGTCCTTACGTTACTTTCCAAACAAATTCAATAGTTCTTCTTTTGTTGTTGGTAAGTACAAATTCAGTAGTTGTTTTGTACTCTATTTTTTATAAGTGAGATATAGGTTTTGGATTTAAGCAGTTATATGGGATGAAAATTTCAGTTTCTGAGTGCATTTCTGAAGTCCCATATCCTTACATGTCCTACCTTTGTGTTTTATATGGGCTGCGAAAAGTTCGGCGTTTCTTTTAGGTCTTCGAATGTCCTCTATATCTACTCATTCAGCTTGTGCTTTATGGTGCAGGGATGCTAGGAAAATCATTTGCTACTCCTTTGCTGACCTTTAACTCTGCATCATGCTTCTCCTCTCCTGGTGTGAGTATAACTTCTTACATTTTTGTAGAAGCCGTTGAGCGGTTAGATTCATCTCAAGGGGTGGCATTTGATCCCAAGATTCATCAGTTTATATTCTCTACTTTTTACTGCTTATATAAATGAGATTTTTTCAATATTAATAAAATTATTTACCGTATCAAAAAAGATCCGTAAGTTATGTCTGGGGTCATTAGATCCAAATTACTATGTTAATCACTTCATGTTCTATTTCTTTCTTTTGTCACTCCGTCCTATTTTATGTGATGATACTAGATTTATACAGAGTAGACAATGCTAATTTGACTTATATAATATAATAGTAGTAAGGATCCTTCGAGGACATCCGATAGCAAAAATATTCTTATATCAGTAGTAATGAGAGAATATATTACAATATCGGTTGGAAAATAGATATAGAAAACATCACATCCTGAAAGTTGTGTATAGTAATTGTATTAATGGAGCACCCAAGGGTGTGGTATGCTAGTCAATGAAGTGGTTGAAAATCACGAGAGAGTAGGGTTCAAATGTCAGCAGACACAAAAATACTTTGTGCTTTTTCCCATTAGTCTAAGTTTTGGGGTACAGAGTGACCGATACATGTACTTGGAGATAACAGGTATCCAATGGAATAGTCGAGGTGTGCCAAGTGATCTGGAACTGCTACAAGAGAAAGTATTAATGGAATGGAGTCAAATAATTTGCAAAAAGAACAAAATTACAAGTGTATCATATAAATTGGAATTGAGAGTTTTCATTTTTAAAGTTATGAATCAATTAACTAATTTTATCTTTGTTATCTCTCATACTTGTGACTTACAAGCTCGGTGAACTTGTAACAACAACAACAACATACCCAGTGTAATCTCAGAAAGTGGGGTCTGGGAAGGGTAAAGTGTATGCAGACCTTATCACTACCTTAAAGGTAGAGTGATTGTTTTCAATAGACCCTTAGTTCAAGGAAAAAAGTCTAAAGCAGTATAGAGAAATAAATAACGGAAATGAAGAAAGTCATGGAAAAATATTATAGACAACCTAACAAATCAACCTAAACAGTAGTCATAACAAGATAAAGCGATAATCGAAGGTTAAAAAAGGAAAGATAATAACCAAACTCAAAGGACAAGAAACTACAAGAGTAATACTACCACTAATAGTACGACTATAGTATAGAAGAATAAGCGAGACAACATTCAACTATCTAACTGACCTCCTACCCTAAGCCATGTTCTCTATAACCTCATATCTAAGGTCATGTCCTCGGTAAGCTGAAGCTGTGTCATGTCTTGTCTAATCATCTCTCCCCACTACTTCTTCGGCATACCTCTACCTCTCTTGGAACTATCCATGGCCAAACTTCTGTGAACTTGTTAGGCAGTTTGGCCAAAGCAAAAGATCCTTAGGCAAATAGCTAATGTTAATTTAATACTTGTGTGGTTGATGATTTTTAAGGAATGGTTATTTGAGGATTCATATATCCAGACAACTAGTTTTTAGTCGAGGAATAGTTGGTTTTCTTGATAGTGATAAATCTTTCATTGTTTGCATGATGTTCAGTCTTCTATATTACCCTAATATACTCTCTGGCGTAAACATAGCTCATACTTTCTTTATCTTACTCTACAGTGTGATTCCGTCTCAACAACAGCATACACTCTAGTTGGGTATGTAAATTGCTCGAGTAGCATTACATTTAATGTCACTAGGGGATCTTGGACGTCCAATTATCCATCCAAGAAATGGACGTTGCATTCAACAGTTACTGACAATATAGTATTAACTGAAGAAGAGAAGAAAACATGGAACGATAGCAGACAAGCTCTTTCTGCATTAAAATTTAGCCCAGATGAAGAAGACAAAATATTAGGAAAAGCATTTGGCCACATACATTCGCCTTACTGGTATGAAGAACGGAAGAAAGAGGTTCCACGACTAGAAGTTGTAAATGAGATACTGGATTATCTAAGGAGTTTAAGCCTTACTGATGATGATCTCACTAAACTTGTCAAGAAATTCCCAGAAGTTCTTGGATGTAGCCTTGAAGATGAAATGAAAACCAATGTCGAAATTCTGGCAAAACAATGGGGAATTGAAGGTAAAACTCTGAGAAATTTGCTTCTTCGAAATCCAAAAGTTTTAGGCTACAATGTTGATTGCAAAGGTGATTGTGTGGCTAAATGCACTCGCTGTTGGGCTCGGTTCTAGCTGTGTATTCTTGTTTTTCATTCTCATACTTTTCTTTATGTATAACTTTCGTCAGCCATTGTATCTAATTATTCAATATCGAAAGTAAATTTATACAATATCAGATTTCTGTATTGCACTGAGATGTGACTCAAGTTTAGATCAAAGTATGTTACAGAGACAATGAAATGAAAAAAATCAGAGCAATTTTTTGAACTTTGATTTCATTTGGTTTTTGATTTTTTGGAGTTGTATACCAAACCAAACGTTTCTTTTAAGTTTGGTTGGTTCGATTCGATTTTTTCGATTTTTTTATGTCCAAATTGGAGAAATTATATCGACTTGATTCATCTGTACACATTTTTACAGTTTTTCAAATTTATGATTGAGTGAATGAATAACAAATCTAAGACCCAAATCCCACTAAAAATATTTGCAATAGGTTTTTTTTTTTTTTAACTCTACAATTGTATATACAGAATTTAAAAGGAAAAGTTGTGTGTCACACTGATTAATGAGTCTAGCAATTACAAATGCAGAGTGAACATAGATTAAAATAAGATAAGCAAAATAGTTATAATTGTTACTAGGAAAATGATTTTCTCATGTTAAAATATCTTTGCAGGGGTGGCTCAATGATCAGCCTAGTAAAGTATTTGCTTTAGGCTTTCAAAATTTTGAGACTCGGAAAATTTTCATTCTGAATTTTATGATTTTAATTTCATATAAAATAATATTAATGATTGTAAATTTTTCTTACAAAATTTACGTAAAAACTAAATAAAGAAAGAATTGATTGAGGAAAATGAGTTGATTTGGAAAATATTTTCCAAACATTTAAGCCAATCAAACATGAAAAAATTGAAAAATATTTTCCAGAAAATATTTTCCTCCTTGCCAAACACACCCTATAAGTTATCATATTCTATGTTCAAGTATAAATTATTGAAATCTTTAAAAAAAAGTCATCAATCTACGTATATCTTCACAAGTGAAATCTATTTCCCAAGATACTCTTAATAATTCATTTTAATAATATATCTCTCATTTCCCTCTTTTGTCATTTTTATATATGTTAAACACTAACAACTTTTAATTTTGTCATTTAATATGGAGTTCATTGTTTAAAGGGAAAAAAGATTGATATATCTCTTAGTTTTGTCATTTAAAGCTCATATATTATTATTATATAGAAGAGTGAAGACGACCGGACGACCAATGACAATTTCGAAAATCTAATATGATTGAAGGGCAGAATAGTAATTGATAGGGTATTGTCAATTTTTGTTTTAAATTAAATTTAAAAAAAATAGGAATAGTAGAAAGAGAAGGCCACGTGTACTTCTATCATCAAAAGCACAAAAAATCACAAGTGGCCGTACTATCTAAACATGATGGGACCCATTTTTAATTCAATTTATATTACATTAACACCTTTACTTTTTGCACTAAAATAAATATAAAAAGAAACAAACATGATTTAAAATGTATTAAATGAAAATAAAAATATTTTAATTAGGGAGAATAAAAATAAAAGTTAATAAATAAAATTAACCGAAGACTCTCACTAAAATTTAAAATAAATAGTTTTAAAATTTTGCGAATCAAGCATTGAAGAGAAATAATAAGTATTCTTCGTGTTCAATTTACGTACATTGATGAAAAGAATATTCTGATAGTAAAATAATTTAAATTTTAAGATTAAGCAGATTAAATTTAATTAATTATAGTAGATTGTTTACTTTATTTACTTAATATTGCTATTTCTTTTTTCTTAAATAAGAAGTCAAGAATCGAAACACATGAAAATCAATACATTAATTAAGAAAAGTAAATAAATATAAGTAGATTAATATTTAGAAAGAGATGACAAAAATAGCAAATGCCGAGGAGTACAAGAAATTAATGCAAAGTTAAAATATGGACCCCATTTTTTTGACTCACTTCAAAAGTCTATGCAATCAAGACCACACATTTTATTTTATTTTTAAAAATAACAATTAATTTGAGTTCATATTTATTTTTGAATGTACTTACTACTTTTAATGAGATTTTTTTTCATATTCAAAATTTAAATTCGAGGCCTTTTAATCATTATCTTTCTTAATCTGGTTCGGTCATGAAAATATAGTTTTTATTTTATTAAAAAATGTATAATTAAAGTCGTCTTTGGTTAAATTTTATATAAAAATATAAATATATTTTTCTAAAATGCATAATACATAAATATGTCATTTAATTTGGTTTCATTTGACATCAGTGTCCTCCAATTTTGGATGTGCATAGTAGACACAAAAATTTGTATAGAAATGAACAAGTAGACACATGTGTCCTACTTGACGTCCTACGCGGCGATATAATTCATGTCCTATGCGACATTCTATGTGGCGTCTTACGTGAATTATGTCTCGTAGGACACGTTTGTCTACTTGTTCAACTTTATATTTCTATCTATTTTTCTATTATATAGAAGAGTGAAGACGACCAGGAC